TCACAGTGTGTTAAAAACAAGCAACAACAACTTCCTTCAGTTGCTCGGTTGTCATAGAAATGGTTTAGTTCAGTACGTCCTACAGTAAGCATCAATCAACATCCCGCTAACGCTAACGCTAACGCTAGCTAACGCTAACGGGGACAGCGTCTACGACACCGGCCATTAGCCACCTAGCTTCCTCGAAGCGTCACGTACTGCAGGTCGGGTGAGAGATATGATAGAAATCGGGTCGTTTTCTAGTGAATAAACAACAACAACGACGACAACAAACAACAACAATAATAATCAACAAAGAAGGAATACACCGAGTGATGTGTCACACGTAACTGGAATCATAAAATAAATAAATACCGATCAGGACGACAGTGAGTTAATTTGTCCGAAGGTGTTCGTGTTCTTGCGGCGTGAACTTTGCTTTTCAATAACGTGCGAAACTGCGTGAGTTTAAAGTGAGGTCAAAGGTCAAAAGGTCGTCGCGTTCGAAACGTTTCAAAAAACGCTTGCGCTAATCCAACCGATCAAACTACGTGTGTGTGTGTTCGGTACTTAGTAGTACTCACAGTGCTAGCGCTAGCGCTAGGACTAGCAACAGATAAAAATGTAAAAAAAAAAAAAAAAATTTCACGGATTCTAGTTTTATAGCCGTCTGCTGCCCCCCGGTGGAGGAGAATTGAACTGTTCTGCTTGTCACGTCATAAAAATTAACGAAAAAAAAAATTTCAGTAAAAACTCGTTTTTAGACCAAACCTTGACCATGTATGTGTATGTGTGTGTGTGTGTGCGGGTGTGTGTTTGTTTTCATATAGCCGTGAGGTCAAATCGATTGGCCGAGTTGCTGCTCTTGTCCCACGTGTTCATCTTGGTGGGGGACGGCCCGTCCCTGTTTGCGTTCATCTAGACAAGAGGACGGGGGAGGGGACAGGCGGTCAACAGGACGTCTCTCTGTCGTCTCTCACTACGGTTCAAACGGCAGCACTCACGATGTCGGAGTTCAACGGCTTCACGTTGACGTTCCGTATGGAGCTGCTGGTCAGAGTCCACACCTTGGTTTTGTGTTTGAACGCCGTCCTGACCTGCAGGGGGAGACGGAGAGACATGAGGACAAACGTCGCCTCCGCGCGCGCCTACGACGACAGTCGAAATTTTTTTTTTTTTTTACCTCCGAGTTGAGAAGACAGTGGAAAAGGAAAACAAAAAATCCCTGCGAAAAAAAAAAAAAATTTTAGAAAAAATTTTTTTTTTCGCGTTTTCGGACGCTAGG